TCGAAGGAAAACATCCGAGAGGCTGAGCGATACTCTAAGATTGTTAGTGGCATCCCGTCAGTGGCACTCCCTCCACGGAGGGATATTCCTTGAAAACTTCCAGAAAGGGGGGGGGGGTGGTGTACCGCCCCGCCTGACACTGATCAAAAATGTTATTTTTCGCATCAGTTTTCAGATCTGGTTTTAGAAAGTTTTACTTGATCTACAACACTTTTTTTGGTACTTTTAAGTCTGCATCGGTAACAGAACATCAGCACAGTTGAAATTTACCTGAATTAGTTATTACTTCTCCTTCTGTATTGTTCATTCTTGGCTATGCAAAGAGAAATATTTTGATCAGACTCTCTTTAAAATTGTACCCGATTTTAGATGATGAGGACTATAGTCTCCACTTTTTTTCGGACCAAAAACTAAAAACTGTAACCATTTAGGTGGAATGTACCTTTCACATACAGGGACTTAACCCACAATAAGAAAAACCCCCTCCCCCGAGGGGCAAATGAAGTGAAAGAATTCTCGGAAATTCGCGTTTCATTTTAATTCCTATTGAGGATAAAGCCTACGGTCAATATAGTTTTAACGAAAATCCAAACCAAATCAAATATAACGATTTTCCCAGCCCTTCCCTGTTACGCAGTGAGTTTTTATTTTCTTTCCCTTTCTCTGGGTCTCTGTGACACCCACATCGGCCTCGTGAATGTTTAGATATTTTACCTTCTCCTTCGAATTTGCTTCACCATTTTCTTCAATTTTCATAGCTGGACCCAAGTGAATAAGTGAAGTGCTAATTAATTGTAAGTGACACGAATAAAAGATCTAACAAATGAAAATAAAATTCTCGCCCTTATTTCATGTACGTGCTCGCTTTGAATCGGTCCTGGTTCATGATATTATTCGCCCTTAGGTGGTGATTGAAATACATTAAAAATAATGAAGTAATATTTTCACAAATATGCTTCATCACTTATTAAATTTAGCTTAGAGTGTCAAAGTGATCAGTAGCTAGTTAGGCTGCCTTCGCTCTCGATTCAATCACAAGTTTGTTGGCTCAATGTGCACGGTGAGATTTAAAAAGTTCACTCCCCAGTTTAAATGGATCACACCTTTTTGCGTCGGTTGACCTCAACCTACCTACAGGAAATCATGAAAATATTTCCTGGCTAACGTAAGAGAAAAAACAGGAAAGAAATACATATTTAATTGTGCGAATAAACTCATATTTTTCATATCGCTTCTAGGACACAAGAGAAAGTGCGTCGATCGTCACACGAAATATGAAATGCCGATATAATTGTCCAGTCTGCTTCTACTGTGCTGACTCGCGTCTTTCATTGATACATAGTTTTACATGTCACGTTGCGGGATGTCACTGAATAACCAAGGTTGTTTTGATTGATGAAGCGGTGATCCTGGACAAGTTATATAACGGCTTTCAAAACAACTTCTTGAGTATTATATCAGCACAGACAAGAGGTTAGTCCAAGTCAGCCCAAAAATATTTGTTTACACTTTTTTTTGTAACACCATATTGAACCAATGACTTTCACTAACATCTCCGAAATTTTATTTGGATTACGAAATTGCCTTTATCTAAGTCAAAAGAGTCCAGGGTGTTACCTAATTCTGTATGATTTTCGTTGAATTTTTGCATCGTGGAAACTTCTTCAGTGTTTTCCAATGAGTCGCTCTTCTTAGTGCCTTACTGGTCAAATAGTCATTTTGATCCAAGCTGCAGAGTATGGCAGAACTTGACGAGATCATTGCACGTGCAGATCGCAGAACCATTTTTTAGCCGCGTACACTGCGTGAAATACGACCGACCAGAATACGCACGTGCATCATGAAGAATCTGTGAGCTGCAGTGATTCTAACAGTGATTTTTTTCTAGTTTATTTTTTTTTTTTCATAATGGTGTTGCTCCGGATGTTCTTCAGTGTAAGCTATATTGATGAACTGCTTTGATCCAAACAACGTGAGTTTGCATTTTTCACCGCCTACATGAGATTAACTTGCGTAACTTCTTACGATAAATTATTTTCCAAACACGTTGTGAAAATATACACTGGACACGTAATAACCCGAGGATGATGTCTTAGTGCATTACCAAATTCTCATAACTCATTGAAATGACTAGCAGCATCAAGAAAGAATCACAGATCAGATTTTTAGGAGTCATTTCATCAGGCCAATCTGGTCCAAAACGGTTACAAATTGGATCGATGAGTCAATTTTAGATGGAAAATATGTTTGTAATGATAAAAGACAATTTCTTTATGTCACAGTGGTCAAACGAATAGTGGTTTCTTTCAAACTGAACTTTTGTCACTGAAGATATTTGATTACTAAGGAATCATATACGTCAAGAAACAAGTTTGATGCACTTTGTATCCGCTCGGAGATCCGTCGATCTCGTTTTTCGTTTCTTTTATTTCACTACGCGCAGCGTCGGAATAGCGTCGTACGGGCGCTTCAGCCGATGTTATTCTCGTTTTATCCGCGACTGAATCATGCAAACTAGGGAATATAGTCACAACATTGAAGCATTTTTCACGTTGATTTAGAAAATGAACGAGGTTAAATTTAGTTATCATAAGTATTCTCATTCTCGTCCACCACGATACCAGGCTTTTAACCCGTTACACCCTAACATCAGTATCAATATTCTCTATTCTCTTCTCTATACGTTTCATTTTGTACTAACAAGGAGAATTTGTTTAACAATCAAAGCTTCTTTGGTTAGGGACCATTTCCTTTAGTCTCATGATCTCGACGAATGATTCAGCCATATTACTGTAAGGAGAAATTAGATGCTGGTCACTCTCAGGGTTTAAAGAGTTAAGTGATTTTAAATATTAGAGGAGTCGCGCTCAGGAAGCTTACAAAAAAAATGTTTACCCCTCAGGTGATTCTGACGTTCGTTTGGCACCACGTATGTATGACAAGTTAGGAGATAAAGAGGGTGGACTAGGGCTGGGATAGATATAAGTTCTAGCACGTACAACCTTCGAAAATGCGATTGATAATCAAAGATACATCCCCAACAAATTGATAGTGACTATTAATCGTGTCACAAGTGATTGAATTTTAATGTAGTATCATTACTGCGGTGAATAAAAAACATGTTTTACAAACGTATCCTTTGGAGAAAAAGTCAAACTGACTTTTCCCCTTAAAACAATCAGCAAATAAGTTAAAGGAGCAGTATGAAAGAAAAGAAATCTTTGTCGTTGTTTAAAAGGGAAAACACACTGACTTATCATGATTTTATACTGAGATCTCTCCACATTTGTCTAGACTTATAAAAAAAACTTGCACATTTTGATGATGGCTTGTAACACATCCACGTAAGAAATTGATTGGTGAGTTTTCCAAAGGGAAAAAGTTAGTTCTGAAAGCCATTTCGAGTAAATCAGCCTTATAAGTAAGGTTCACTAATATCAGTTGAGTTTGTGATATACGATTTGACGAACATGTGCCAGTTTGAGTGTGAACGCTGATTGTGGGGAGCCAGTCACTTACCACCAATTCATCAATACGAGTATTCTATCAGCTAAATGCTGGGCTGTCAGGTGAAATGATAAACAAGGTCTTTGTTTACTTGTGAAATGATGTATACCACATTTACCCTGATAAGGCCATCACTCGATTCTATTTCCATTTGGATCTCGTTCTTCACTTTAATCTTTTTGCTCAAAAACGGATACGATGGACAAAGCGTTCTTTACAGAAACATCGAGTGAATAATTTGGCGTAGATCTTTCAGAGGCTAACCTGGACTTTTCTTTACTGATGGAAGAAAACAGACTGGTTTTTAATTTGTCATGCGGTAAAATGACTTTGCATCTTGTCTTTGGAGTTTCAGAATTTGATTCTTGCGTTTTTATGTATCCTTGACAAACTGCTGTAATGCGCTTCTCTCAACTTATTACAAGCCTTTTGCGGTTACGGAAATGAAGTCAGCAGACAAAAAGATGCTCGTGGTAGCCTTCCTGAATATAATATCTTTCATGGCTCTGACTGCTTGAGTGGTATTATTATCGTTTACCGAAGGAGAAAAGGGAGGCCATTGTGATTCAAAAGGAAGTCTTCGTAAAAAGTTTTTGGTAAAAAAATCAAATGGTGCTCTCTGAGCAGGTCCTCTATCATATATTCTATATTCACACATTTTTTCCGAAAAAACATATTTTGTTTGAGGATAATAACTTGAACTTGAATATAAAATTTTCATGATAAAACTGCTACTTGTGGCCTTAACTGATCATGAGCAGTTTCCTTAAAATAAATACAATATATTTCTCAGATCATTTGGATCAAAGATAACTTGAAAACAAACTTTGTTACCAGATTAAGATGCTTATTAAGAAGCCTCACAAATAGATTTGTGTGCAGTTTTCAAAATCTGTTTAATCGCATGTAACCTTTTTTTTTTATATTTCGTCGTGAAATCTCCTTTTTAGTGACTCTATTCAGTTATGTAAGTCTCTGTTGGCGGGGGCTCGTGTCCAACAGGCGACTCAAGGAAGCTATACTGCATTCAACGCTTAAACTGAGTGGTTAGACAATTAAACCATGCAATTTAATTTTTATCGCCACAGTGGGCTCTTAAAGCGCTTAACTGTGCACTTCTTCCGCAAGGTAAGTGCATAAACTGAAAGCTAACTTGTTAATTTATCTAAAGAGAAGATACACAAAATTTATTCATGCATTTCAAAGTAAGAAAAACAGGCCTCGTCGTCAAATTATTTATCTTTAACGTCTCCTCGGGTTATATAGATTTTTCGAGTGTGTCCGTTCTTAATTTGAAACTCTATGACTGCGATTGTAGGGTTTGATTTATTCGCTTCGCTAATAGACAGGTGGTGTGTTTTACCAGACTAAATTATTAAAATATTGATCGTCTAGTGTTTCACTTTTTTCTTAAAGCGCGCAGCATCGGGCGGCCACGTGCGCGTTAAATAACAGACAATGCAATGGCTTCCCGTAAAGTTGGACGCACCACCGACAGGCGTTAAGTCCACAAAACAGTACTGGACTTAAACAACGGAAAACTCTGTTGAATTGTAAGAAACTGATAGCGGATTCCACGTCACTTCCACATCCTATGTGGGGGCAGGGCCGGGGTCTCTATAAAATTCTGACGGTTATCGCTTCAATTCACTGAAAAACAAACACTGATCCGGTAAGGACAGATCAGAGTTAACAACGGGTCGATCAAGTTAACTTCATCTTAAAAACCCAAGGTAACTGAATTATGCTCTCTATTTTCTTATGATACATGCGATGCTCGGGCTGCGTCTTGCAGAATATCGTGCATTAGTGAAAAATGTCCGTTAAATTTAATTTCTATTATCACTTTGGCTCATGCAAGAAAAAAAATTAACTCAAGGTTTGCACATAACATACAAGCCGTCTGTGAGAATTTGTAGTTCTATAAATTTTGCATGAGAGAAACTCCAAGATTTAAGAAGAGCATTGTCAGGAAAACGGTCCTGTATCTCGTGCTTTAAAAGGCTGGGCTGCCGGTATAACACGAGTTGGCTTCATTTTGTTCGCTGTATTCCACTTACAGTTATATTTTTTAAGTTTGAATTTTTCTTGATCCACAGTTTCTTATTCAAAGGACAGGGTTTTAGAGGATGAAATGATTTTCATGAGTTCTTTGTGTTACGAGTTACTCAATACCAAGCGAAGAAAATAGCTCTTATATTGGATTTCGTGATGCCCTCAATCATATTTAGTTGGGCTATTTAGGAAATGATAGTGCAAACACAGGATGGGTCGTATTAATAACATCCTCTTAGTCTGCTGGTTTACTAACTTTTAAAATCAATTAATTAATTTCGTTTCTGGAATGATAAATAGTGATGATCTAGCTGTACGCTTGACTTGAGGGAATTACCATTTTCTGCCACTTTTTTCGGTAACAAGTAGACTAACATCAGTGAACAATCTAGTTTATGAGAAATTAAAAGATAAGAAAGCCCGTTGATTAAACGCAAACTCCGGTTTTGTCGAATCAGCACATGGTCTCTAGAAAATAATCTACGTAGGAGTTACAATTTAAAACCTTGAACTAAAGAACAGCTAGTGTTAGTTTAATATAATTAAAGAACTTTATCATTTACATGTTAATCCTAGCGGCGTCATCACATGAAAATTCAAATAAATTAACAAAACACGTTTCCCACTGCTTGAACACTGAAAGTACTCGTGAACTTTCCAGTCACAAGATCATAAATTCTTTTGAAACAGTTTATATCGGTTTATATTTTCTTTTATTTTGGGCTTTCTGTAGCAAAAATAAGCGCTTTATCAGCTCTCTCAAGAGTTAGTATGAATCGAAAGAAAATTTTAGAATTTCAGATAATGAATCAATCATAGAGGCCTTATCATAGAGTTATTTTTAGATCACTTGCGCTCACGAAGATCCAGGTAGAATCAGAAATAACCAGTCCCATGTTGCGAATTTCGCGAACGTCAGACATTCCGTGCGGCATCTTTTTTTTTTTATCTGTTGTAATATCTTATGCTGCGTGTATATCGTGCAGAGCACGATATACATGTAACATGTTGTGAGGATTTCAGAGTACCACCTGGGTGCTTGTGGATACTTCTTTTATCTCCTCGTGCTGTAATTATCTTTCAGATACTGGCATGAATCGAAGCAGAGTCATGGATAAAATTCAGATCAGTACGCTAGGGCATTAGTATTTTTCTATGTTTATGCATAAGAGAGCGAAAATAGTTAGCTAGAGTTTATATTTCTCACTTCCTCGTAGCTTCATCCTCAAAGGGATCTAAAAATAGCAATTGCTGCGTCGTGAACAATCGTCACTCGGAAATCGCATGTGAATTCTTCTTTGTTCTCCATCACAGTAAGCAGGAAAATGAGAACTTGGGAAAAACGTAAAAAAAAAAAAAAAAAAAAAAAAAAAAAAAAAAAAAAGACGGGCCGAAATCAGCTGCACATTATTTTAGCCTCATCCTATTTTACCTATCAATGTCCCTTATTTGCCTCGATTTTTTTAATTGACAGTTTGAACCGGTTTCTCTTATAGGTTCACATGGATATTCTTCACGTATAAATTTCCTTCAACTCACTAACTTTCTCGAACTATCTTACTAGGCAGACAAGAGCACCATGTAGTGCAGACTGTGTCAACAAAACGTTAAAGACTCATTTCCTTAAAGGATATTTCAGACTTTTAATTTTTCTGTATCTATTTATTAGCTGACTATTTTGATGTCTCCCCATTAAAAAGTTTTTATTTTTAACTTCGTAAGCACCTATATGTATTGGGATTTTTCAGTGTCTAAGTGTTACGTCATTGGCTCTTACACCAACATCAGCTTTGTAGATCGCTCCACTATAATTTGTTTTAGTGCCCGTTTAATCCTCGATTCCCCTGAACAAGACTCTTATTCTGGTTAACGTCTCTAAGTTCGGTTCCATCACTATCATCTTTTTTGTTGTTTTCTCCTCTAGCGACTGTCTTGGCTTAATCAATACCTTGCATTCCACAATCCAAAAGTAAACTTTTAAAACGACTCCTACGATGAACCGAAAGCTACTCGCTGCGTTAGCAATTGTAACATTTCTCACGATAGCTGACCTTAGCAACAGAACTGCTTGTGAAGCGAAACAGCGGCGCCGAAGGTTCACGTGGCATGGAAGACGTTTGATCTCACATCGACCGACAAAGTCTGCATCGAATGGAAATAGCCAGGTGAACATGAATTCTCAAAAGCCAGCAGATAATGATGACACAACACAAAAACAAGACTTTGATAATGAAGAACAGGTTGGAAAATTCTACGCTGAAGTGTTTGGAAGTGGTAAGAAGCATCATCGTTCTCTAACCACTAGGATCACAGTTTACAAAGCTCCAATTTAGATTTTCAATTTCTTAAGATGTGACTATCAATTCTTTATCAAATATTTTATTAAGATCCTGCTCTCCGGATTCCGTATTGACTTAAGGGTTGAGTAGAGATATTTTAATCATTTTTAACAAACTTAGTAGAAGAGAAATGTTGTACCAATGAACTTAATGCGCTCTTAACGAAATAAACAACTTGAAGTTACGTAAGAAATTCACACAGCATAGCTAAGATAAACATCACTAGGAACCAAGGAAAGTTGAAATTTAGCGCAAAAAGCGCGTGAAAACTCAGATAAACGAGTCTTGAGAGGTCAGAAAGATGGCATTTTTTTCCTGGACCAATCATAGAGCATAGTGAAACTAAACCACTGCAGTCCAGGATTTCTTTCAGCATTCAGTTGACGATACCACTTTACGACGCGCATGTGAATAATGTTAACTTGTCCGGTCGCTTCACTACTAATAAGATATTTTTTTCGATTTATCACAGGTGATATGCGTCAACCACACGAACCTTGATTTTTTACGAAGATTAGAGATGTAAAATGGAGTCGACATAAATATAGTTTTTTAAATGTTTTAAATTCATTATATTTAATTAAAGTTAGGAAATTGTATTATTTAACTGATTCATTAAAGAGGATAATTTGTGCGTCTTGAAACATTTCATGAAAAATCTTCACGATCATCGTCTGCAATCTTCATAAGTCTCCTTTGTCTCTAAAACGTTATCACCGTAATCCAGACTAAAACCGAAAATGTTACACGGCTTTTCCATAAAAAAATATTTAAATTTACTGAAACAAGCTTATCTTTACGTTTACAAATGAGGAGACTGAAAGTTACAAACTTTTCTAGGCGGTCCTACAAAATACAAACTGTCTTTTAAAATACACTAAACGGAGTGGTTTTTAGCCGGGGCTATTGCACATAACAATGAAGAAAGAAGTCGTGCAACAGTTCTGAATTTGGCATGGCTTTATTCTAGTGCTTTTCCATCTCATAGAAATTAAAAATGAAAACCAAACCGAACGAAAGAAAGTTGCAAGGTAATTAGTTGAGTACAAAAGCCAGCAACAGTTTGTACGCAATTGAAGCTCACTTTGTAGATTCAAAATAATTCGAAAATAAAGAGAAAGGACTTGATATATGAAAATTATATGTGTGTAAAATAAATTTTCTCCAACATTCTTTTGCAATATCATTCAAAATTTGATCTTTCTTTGACCAAGATGTCGTTGTTTCTTATTTCGTCTTTCTTTCAACAGCGCACTTTTTAAAACTACGGCACCTTCCTTACGCATTTCGAATTCGATTAAATTCTAAGTTAACGATAAACCACTGTTGTTAAGTTAAAAACAGACTGAAAGAGATCCGTGCATGCAGAGCGAAACCTAAATTAGAATAACAGGGATAATTTCAGACTATAGTTAAATAGGTCAAAACATAATATAATTGGCGATTTTCACTTTGCCTTGCTCTATCATTTCACCTTCTGCATCTTTATTGAATCTCTTTTCAGGCACAAATTCTTGCGTAACCTTCTCGTCCAGCTTAAAATTTTCCCTCGAAGACGATTGAACAGCAATCGATGGTACATTTCGTGCCCGAAGATATTTAGTCGCAGATCGTTGCTGCATGCCTAAGCATGTTGTTCACAGTTGTGAATGTTGTCAACAGAGTGTTTTTACATTGGCACAGTTGTCTAATGTGTAACTGAGTAGGTTAATATGATTATTACTTACCTGTGTGGGGGTAAATATCGTTTATGTCATGTACCGTGCTCGAGCAATATGAAGTTGGCAGAAGTAACCTAACTTCGTTGCATTTGCCAAGAACTTGATCACTTTTATGTTTTCATGAAATAACATGTCCTCGCCAACACAGGCACAACGAAACGTCCAATTAGAGGATATTTACCCGAACGGTTTTGACGTAAGTTATAAAATTTTTATTTTAATGATAACGCTCTGGCGGGAGATCAGTTTAAAATTATTCTTAGACAACTACAAAATCCCGGGAAAATTTTTATTTTAAATACTTTCTCTTAACCCTTTTCCGATGGATAATATATTTTCTTTCTATATGTAAATCTGGTAAGATAACAGTTCTGTCCGCTATTTGTATGACTTCTAATTTTTTTATCTTAAAATTTCTGAAGTAATAAAATGGATCTAATTTCATGCTTTGCTAAGACTGCTCGAAGCGGAGCAGTAAACCTTTCGCATGCTGGTAGAACTACAAATACGACGATAGTGAAGATATTCCGAAGGTTTTTGGGATTGGATCTTGAATTTTATCTGATAATTTACCCGTAGGGATTTGAAATCTTTATGATCTTACCTATTGCGCAGTGGGTTGTCCCATTACTTCGTTGAAATAAATCTTGTTTTTACAATTAGATTATTCTCCCCTACTACTGGATTTGTATTGTTATCCAGAGTACAATTTACCAAGCTATGTGCTAAGAAAGCTTTAATTTTTTTTTAATTATAGTACAAAATCAATCAGTTAACAAGTAGAATTACACAGAACGTGAAAAAGATAGAAAGAGGGAACAACAATAGTACGCTGTTTGTTGTATGATACATTCTGGATAAACTGCAAGTTTCTCCCCACTGCAGTGAATGGAAATCACGATAAGGGTGATGTACACGTCGACTTGGAGAATGATTTCATCGAACCCTTCCCCCCTTCCCCCCCCCCCTCCCCTTTTTCACCCATATGTGGAACACAGAACGAGGAATTCTAGGGACTGGGTCATCTAAATTGAAATGAGGCGTTCACGAATACAGTCGACTGCTCGCACCGTTTTCCACATAAATTGAATTACATGTAGTTGCGCCCATGAAATTTTTTAGGCATTTCGGAGTTCTCTTGATTTCAGTTATGGACTCGAAGAAACTTGACTTTGTTCATTTGCGGTTTGAAATAATTGTGTGACTCAATAAAATTATTGATTTTGTTTAAAGTTGAAGTCCTATTAAAACCAGTTAGAAGTTAGTCTCGAAAAGAAATTTCTGTCATTGAAACTTTTCAAGTAATGAATTAAACTTTTTTTCGCGATTTATGATAGAATTATTGAGTACGCTAACTCTGTTAACCTTTTCGAACATCGATAAAAAACTTTGTGCACTTCATGAGGTTCTTAGCATCTTTCATTTTATTTTATTGATTTCAAAATTCTTTAAAAAACTGGCCCACCGATTCAAATAGAAAAAAAAGTGTCTGCTAAAAAAAGAATTGTTTCTTATTTGAATTAGTCAAAAACATCGTCAAAAAAAAAAATCCTCACAGATTTAACCTTGAAAAAAAATTCATGATGCGGATTGACAGGTATATGAATCAAATTTATCCAAACTTACCCCTTTAGTTAGTAAACCCACGAAAAACCCCAAGATAAAGCTTCCAAAATTTACATGCCGATGTATTACTGTTAAAAGCTACTTTTTGTCACTTTAAAAATGCCTTTACCAGATTACGTGTATATCAACTTTTTCTACGATGTTTCTTGGACATTTTGATTATTTTAAAATCTTGGTCAATGATACCCAGCTTCTGAATTACTAAGTTTGAAATGTAACTCTCAAATAAACACATAAAGCAAATAAAGAACTAAAAAAATTTTTCTGGCGTTCTAATACTCTATTCCAGGTAAAAATTTTAGCACGTTTATGCCTTGTAGATCTCTCAGTTACTTCAGAAAATATTTGTAAGACATTTTCAGAGATATTCTTACAGATATATCAGTACCTTCTTAATACATGTCTTGAATCCATTGCAAAGAGCAAAACCATGTCTTTCGAGTATGTTGTTTTACGACGGTGTAACTAACTTCATTTCTTTCGACCTTCTACTCTGGATTTTTAGTTAAAAAGGCAATCACTGTAATTGTTAGACATTTCACCGCCTGATTTCCATAATAAACTTTAGGTCACTTACTTATGTAAAACATATTACCGTTTGAAAAGGCGAAAAGTTTCAGGAGATTTAAAAATTCTCAGCTTAAAGTGTACAAAACTTTTTAATTTCCGCTATCAAACGTGTCCGCCATTGAAGAAACTTTTATCTTTCTATACTGGGTGTAGCCAGAGATAAGATCACTTGTGCAGTTTTTGTTTAAAGACGAAAAGCTATTATTTTCACGTCGGCCACCATTTCATCATTTTAATTTGTCTTTTGTTTAACTTTTTCGGCGCATTAATCGACAAAACAACTTTGGATACAAAGTGAATGAGGGTTAAAGTGAAGAGAGTACTTAGACTAGAAGGAAGAGCCCTTGTTTGGTTAATATGAAAAAACATAACCATTTCTAAGCGGTAAAATATATAACTTCGACTATATCTAATCCCAGTAAAATTTCACCTTGACGTTACAGCCAAAATTGTCACTCGCATTAAATATTTTTTAATCCTTCATGGTCAATTTGCCTTTGATCATCCCCTTTATGCTTCAGCTTTGTTATAGATAATTAAGAAGCAAACAAGAACTACACTTTCTACTCATAAATCGTGAAAATCCGTGTTCGAGTTTACAAACTCCCTTCCTTATACCAACGAGAGTTTACTTAACGAAGTGCGTCAAACTTTTTCATTTCTAACATAAGTAACAAAAATAGAATTAAATGGATTTTTGTAAAAAAGATTATTTTTATTGGAACATCACGCAATGCTTTGTTGAGAAAGTTAAATCACCTGAGGTACTGCTTTAAAATTACCAAAAATCTTATCATTGTTTTCATCGATTAATAGAAATAAAATAAATCTGATTTTCAAAAGAAAGCACATGGGCTATCAACTTGAAAAGATTAATGGGCAAATTCCTAAGAAAAAAGCAAGCTTAAACACAAAGCAGGGTTAGATTTTTTTTGAAAAGATTAATGGGAAAATTCCTAAGAAAAAAGCAAGCTTAAACACAAAGCATTTTTTTTTGATAATTTGTGTTCTACATCAATCAGAAAAATACGGCATATTTAATTAACGAAATTTTTTTGAAAATTTGTCCACGCAAACATTTGACCTTGTATTCAACTGTTACCCTCTTTGGACATCTAAACCATCAAAACCACACTTTACAAGGCAAAGTTTGAAGATTTTTGTAGATTTACTGGCTCTATTGAGCCAAGTGTGGCGTAAGACAATAAAATTGGAGTAGCTTTTACAATTAAATCAATTGAATCTTACGAATTTTTTTGTTCACAGAAATACCACTCTCATTTTCGGCGAAATCAAAGACTAATTGTTTGGAGTAACGCGTAGTAACTTAAATTAAAAAAACAAAACATCTAAATGAGAATTCATGCATAAAAAGTCTGGTCAATATATCAGAAAAGAGTATGTGCAAGAAAAAGCTGAAATAGATTTGAATATTAAATCCAACAAGATGTTTTAAAACAGCATAATATTTGGTAAAATTCTAAAATTTTAATTTTTTTATAATTTGTTTGATAATTTGTAGATTTATCACTTGATGAAGAACCCCCACTGTTAAATCATCCTTTGCAAAAAAATCCCGATAATCAATTCTCTGTGCTGCTTAAAGAATCCCAGTAATATTCCTATAGTTAAGTTGAAAAAAATGGAAATGAAGATGGAGCTTAATTTGTTTCTTATTTGTGCTTTTTTTTTTTGTAGAGACAAATATTAGACATAAATACTTTTGTAGCTAAAAAAATTATGTGAAGCAGCAAGTTGTCATTAGAAGAACTGTTAAAACTTTGACCTATGATGCGTTTTCGCCAAAATGTGAAAACCTTTATATACCGCATGCACTCATTAATATCTCAACGCCTAACTGGCTCACTGAATAGAGCACAGTAGGTCAAAGGATTGGGCCTAGACCCGACTTTACTCATGATCTTAGAATAACTGTGGAAAACATGCTATAAACGCTATCTGCAAATGGTAACACATTCTTATCTCCTGGCACGGGTTGTTCAGAGCAGGGTTAAAATAAGCCAGGGTTGGTGAAAAAATTTGATTTCAGGTCTGAAAGCTTGCAATTTGATCGCTAGATGCCCTAGAAAGAATTGAGAAAATTTTCTTAAAAGGCTTTTGAACAAAGAAATAAAGAAACCTGGATTAAAACTTGAGCCTGGGTTAGCGCTAATCGGCCTTCGAACAACTGGGCCCCAAGGCGATGAGGAGATTGATAGCCATGATTATCGCAAGCAAGGGAATATGGGTCGCGTAGCTCCCAGCTTTGTGCTATGATTTTTATCTTTGTCTCAGTGGGTCCTAATCTGGATATCTCTGCCTAATTCCAGCTGGTGTAAACAAACAAGTAAACAAACGAATCATCAAGACTCGTTGTTAGAAGTGATTCTTGTTTTTAAGTCTCTATATAAAATGCTTACATAAGACAGAACTGTACTTTCGTGCGATAATCTGTATAACACAGCAGTAAGTGATTCTACTTGCTAAGTCTTCGGATAAACCACCCATTAATGACCACTCAAATGAGAGCTACTGTTTATCATACTGTGGAAGGTGGTTGAAACTCTATTTTTGCTTCGCGTGTCAATGAAGCCTTTGTCAGTTTATATTTAGGTATTTTAGATTACTAATCTAATGATTAAGAGCATTCGTATGCTTCCTCCTGAGCTTTACCACTTTGATCCATTCACCCAGGAATAACCTCACAATACCGATACATTTCCATGACGAAAGTTGATGAGATGAAAGACAAGCATCAATCAAGGAAATTTTTATCGAGGATCGAGTTGTCAGCCAGATTGACAAGAAATGCATGTCAGTTAGGGCGCAAAATTGATAGTTGGATCTTCTGAATAAAAAGACTGAAGGACATGCACAATGTAAATCAGGTCAGCTAAGAAAAAAGCGTCTAAATTGCAAGAATGATACAAAGGAAAACAAAACCGAATGTTGACGGTCAAAGGTCAGACATGATTACTATGCCTTTCAATTACATCTGAGTCGCAGCCTCAGGCTTGTGTTCCCGTTTCATCGCCATTACCATAACGCTCATTCTGAGGAAGGCACAAACAAAATGGATCGAGACCTCATTTGAGAATTTTTACTTTTTGAGCCCACTGAAATACCCCTTCGTCTAAAGAAGGAACAGAGCCTCTTATTTTCTATATCGTCTATCCGTTTTGTTTAAAGATTTTGTAACCACGCTTTTCATGCACCATAGCATCCACTGCAGGGAAATCAAGAAATGTTGTTTCAATAAGATGGAAAAACAGCTAAGTGGCTTTGATAAACCAAACACCTGAACTAACTTGTTCAAAGATAGATACTAATGATATCAATTTAAAATGACGGAATTGAAAACTCTATGCTTATTCTTTAAGACCCAATATTTTGTCTTACATAGCACCTTTAACCTCACTGTAATGTCAAACTATGGCCTTTAAAAGTTGACGTTATACACTGGATAGTTTACAAATTTTTTTTGCTCTTGGCCTCTTCAACTGATCTAGATTTTTCGTCCTAAAGGAAATTGCTTAGACAATAATAATATTCCTCCTACACGAAAGCTCTTACTCATCAAAATTGTGTTAGCATGATTTTCCATATTTGTGATAGCGGGGGGTTTGTTGCTTCGAGGCTTCAGATACACACGAATGCTGGCTCTCACGCAATCTCATGGAAATATGAATTCAATTACAGCTCTTTACTTAAACGCATACTCCTTGGTCTGCAAAAATAATTCCTCGTAGAATAACATCAATAACAGTCGAATTGGAAAAGAAAAGAAAATAAAATACAAAAAGGTACGCAGGTCCGTGTGTCAGTTCGCATATTTGGACTCAATGACACAGCCATCTACGAATCATTCTCTGAGTATTACTGAACAATTTAAGGAAGAGAGCTAACAATTTTCAAGTTTCTTTCTGCTGCTTGAACAGATAATTGGCAAGATTTGCTCTCAGCATAAGTCTTTGTCTTTTCAAACCGCAAAAGATTTTTCCTGCAAACATCAAAACAAAACAAAATAAAAACAGACACACAAAAAAATCGTCAATCCTCATGATACACCTCCAGCAAACTTTTCATGTCATACTACATTTTATTCTTAATGGTAGGTCACATTTGGCTGGAAACATAACTCCGGCTTTGTTATTTCCGTGATTCCTTGAGTCTTTCAACTGTTTGGGTTCTAGCGTGCTCGAAAATGATATAATGATTTGTTCGGTTATTACTGCTTGAAAATATATCGCTTACAGGAGTAAACAGTCCGTTAATGGTCAAAGGCGAAAAAAAAAAGACGGCAGAGAGGCAAGAATGAATTAAAGGGAAGAGGGATGATAAAAGTTGAAGAACAAAAAGACAGATTTTAAATGATGACAAACTTAGCTTCTGTATTAAGCGGTTCAGCTTCATTGTGATCAGTTTACCATTAGCAAAAACTCTGTTTATCGACAGAATATCTTCTTATTCTTTAGAAGTAGGAAATGATTTGAATTTCAATCATATAAGTTCCTTAAATTTGTCGTGATGACAAACTAGTGGACATTCAGCTCAGACTTCTAAAAGGAAACCACAGAGAGAAGACAGACAGAGTCTTCATTTAATGATATATTTTTCATTGTGATCAGTCTACCATTAACAAAAACTCTGTTTATCAACAGAATATCTTCTCATTCTTTAGAAGTAGGAAATGAATTGAATTTAATCACATAAGTTCCTTAAATTTGTCGTGATGACAAACTAGTGGACATTCAGCTCAGACTTCTAAAAGGAAACCACAGAGAGAAGACAGACAGATTCTTCATTTAATGATGGACTTTATTTGTCACTTGGGGTTAAATTAAAGAGAATTCAAAACCACTGCATCAAAAAAACATCGTTAAACTCTGTGGGGTTAATCTGCCCTGAAAAGCTTCAGTAAGCAACAATGCTAAGCGCGAACGGCACGAAAATGCGTCGGGGAAGGATCCATTAATACCGTGTGGTGTGAAAGTTTTGCGGACGTTAATTTTTTTACGGATTTTACAATATGCCCTCGGTCGTTAATGAAGGTATTTCTGCAGACAAAAAAATTCCCCTAGGTTAAACACTGCAAAAAATTTAGTTCTCAGTTAAGTCAATTAAAAATCCCTGAATGCGAAACAAGTGTTATTTGTAATTTTATGTATACGAACTCACTCGAATATGCATCCTTGTACTTCATTACTTTTCTATAGGTTGAAAAATATATTGGAAAATTATATTAAAGGATCAAATCTCGAATGAAAAATTCGCTCCCGCCAAACACACAGAACCAACCAATCTGCTAAGTAAAACTCTAATTCTGATGCTGCACGACAGGAACACAAAAGTTGAACCTAAGATATCGATTCACTGCGTGATTAGGGCGCATAGAACAATCGCACCGTTTTGCACGAATTGCCCACTAAGCTACGGCCTAAAGCATCCGGCCTAAACCGCTGTTATGCAACATACCGTCTGAAAGATAATACGATATATCATGCAATAAATTGTTACATTCGGGACTTCCGAAGCTGGATTTGAAGCGTGTGCGTGGTTTTAAAATTGACTTACAGGAAGGAATCAGCTGTTTTGCCCACAGGGATGCACTTTGGACACAACTAATTAATTTTGTAAAGTTAAACCGGTTATTTTTAGAGGCAAAACAAAACAGAACAGAACGCAACAAAACGAGTTCAAAATAGCTGCTTTCTGAAAGAAAGTTAACAAATCAAACAGACACCTTATTTGAAAATCTGTTCATATTATGTTTGATTGTCTTTAAAAGTCAGCATTCGTTGTTGAATGAGACAAAATAGTTTGTTTTAGTTCTGTATCTAGCACTGAACAAAGAACTTTAACCTTTCTCAGTTGAAACAGCTGCGAGAGTTGTGAAAACATTCTCTTAGGAGAGCAATAAACTTAATGGCTAAAATAATTGGACTTGAAACAAATTTCTTTAGCCTGCGTTTAATAATATATTTTATTTTACGTAAAATGTCGAGACATCTTCCTCAATTTCACCCTTTCATGTTCGCCAAACGAATGCCGGAAATAGGCAACAATTTGTTGAATGTATTTTTTATTTGCAGTCAGTGTGAAAAACGTGGGCTTCCATTGTGGATAAATAGAAGTTGTACAACAAAGATAATTAAGTTTTGTCGAGGGAAGTCGATTGCTGTAGATCAGACATATCAGCGGTTTTAAAAGATAGAAGAAGGTAAGTCGTTTAACCCGTTTCTATTCAGAATATTAACAGAAAACTTTTAATATGGGCCTTTTTAAATAAGTTCGTTTAAGGGTTAAAACAAATGGTTTTAAATCAGTTTGCTGATATTCACTAAGCTGCTTCTTTTGCCCTTCGTTCTGCTTGCTAAAAGTATTTAACACAAAGAAAAATATCTTAGATTCGACTTTATTGTATCAGTATTTTTGTTTTTTTTTTCGAAATACATTTCTAACAAGTTCATAATTTTCTGATTATTCACATGTATCTTGCGATCAAACTAGTCGAGAAGAGAGAAGGCTTTTCGTACCTTAAAATCTTAGTGTAATGCTGCCATGTTCGAATTGCCTTCTTAACATTTAAACCCACCCAAGCGTTTTCCGGTCTCCAGTTGCGAGATTATTTAACTTATGGAAAAACTTCTCAATATAGATTTTCGTGGAAGAGAATAAAAAAATAAAAATCAATGAAATAGAGATAAAAATTAAGTTCTTTTGAAACCGGGCTATCAGGGCTGTACACGTTTTTTTTAATCGCTCTTGGTCATGAAAGCACTGCCGCCGATCACAGCCAACTGAAAGGTTTAAAAATGTATCTTGCGGACTCACATATCGTTACTTTTCCCTAGGGCGCTTTTTTAAAATTGCTTTCGGTAGGCTATTTGAAAAGCTCTCAGGGAGAATACGGAAGGTGAATTTTTCTTGACCACGAATTCTAGAGAATGAGGAGCTTGCATACGCAAACCATTGCCAATGAAAATGTGATGGGGGAATACGTTCAGTGAGGAGAAAAAATAGTACTGCAGTCTCGTGTCAAAACTTTTTTTATTTCCTAGTTGCCCTACAAGAAATAAAAACCTCGAATCACTGCAATTTTTTTTGTTTTCCGAAACTGGGAGCCCCGATGGCAAATTCGCGTTTCTACTGCGGACTCCAGGCACCGTTCACATGTAGTGCTAAAGGGTTGATCTAGCATCGTTAATGGTCGTAGTAAAACAAACGCAGTGTGCTCTTCACAAAGTTCTTTGCATGAACGGTAGTTCGTCTTTACATCATAAAACTCCCCAAATATTACGTTTACAATAATTAGATTTACTTCCTCAGTTAAAAACGTTTATCTGAAATTTTACAAGAAGCAAAGGATCACATTTTCCTTGGTGCTATAACATTATAATCCTATACGGAATGTTGGGGGAACAATATAAAAAAAACATACGAGTCACTCGCCTTACAGCTCGCTATTCACAGTCATTTTATTTTTTAGTTTTATGACTATGCAGTGGTACTTCGCTCAACGAAAGATATGATTAATAAACCAAACCCGAAAGTGGCGCTTTGATATTGTAAATAAAATTTTATTGTTCAATGCAACCTGCAAGTGAGAAAAACATCTTCAAAAAACTGAAGTCATTGGCAAGTCATTAGAGAATGCTAAACATCTCAGCTTGGCTTTCCAGTCCACAAAACCAACTGCAACTTAACACCACCTCAAAGATGTCGTTGTTAAAGTAGCTCTTTTGTGCACATCAGGGGCCATTAGCGTTTGATCTGACGAAAGAGCTTGTTAGCTTTTGCAATCCTGCATCAAAATGAATACACGTTAGCAAGCGTCGATCACAAAGTCAATGGAGGAAATTTAACCTGCCATTGTATGGGAAGATTGTTGAAACTTTTGATTAGCAGCTGCCACTAACTTTATCATGAAAATGAGGTAACTAAAGACGTTTTTAGGCTATTAGTTGAGGGAACACCTGAAATGTAGGTGATAATTCACTTGGTTTTGAAAACCGTATTATTGCGTGAGACTCCTGCTGCTTTCAATTTAATTTCAACCACTGCATGTTAAAATAAAACAGTTTCTGAGTTAATTGATTTTAGAACGCTTGTGTACGAATTGAGCTTATGCCGGATAATTTTTCACACGGGAATCCATGTTAACAGTATGGATGCACAAAATCAGTGACAACGACACAAACATTGTATGAAGGAAAGAAAAACAATGAAGTTATGAATCGAGTACGGTAAGAGCCAGCTACCGTGAAAGAACATTGCGGTAGAAATCTTCTTAACGGCGAGCAACTAATTAAATTAATAGCGAATCGTGTATAATTTACTTCTGATAAGTTAAGTGATCGTGCTGATCAATAACATTTCATTTCAATCTGAAATTTGCGTTAAGCTTTTTTTTTTTTTTTTTTTTTAAATGGTTTAAAATCTTGTTATCCACCCGGCATTTTTGAATCCAGTACATGTACACAATCCTTAGGGCAGAGCTAATTCTTGCGTACCTCTTCGAAGGGTCTAGGCAAGCTATAGCGTATGCAGAAAAAAGCCAGAAAAAATTCAAGCTTCGACGGGATTCTGAATCAAAACCTTGTTACCAGAGACTAGTTGGGCGCTACTATCAATTGAGTTGCGAGGTTACTTGTTGGGAACGAGGTATGCGTTATGGGAGTTGAATGAATGAATATAAAGTTACACGAAGAAACGATGATTGTGACGCATAATTATGACAATTTTTAATGATCTTGTCCCTTTTTTTTCTCAGAAGTTGTGTCATGAAGTCGTCCAGACCTCTCTTCGTTTTCCTGTTCATCTTACTCCTCTGTAATTTAATTATGACAATCAACTCCGAAAGCAATAAACCTTTTCGATTTCACTCCCGTCGTTGGATTCTGCGAAGAAATAAACAAAAAAAGCCAGATACCAAGAGCAATGGGAAAAGATATGTGGGGTCGCTGTCAGAAGACACAAGGATGGAAACGACAACAAGGGATTCACCGAATGTATCAGAGTTAACGGACGTTGTTTTTATTTGAAGAAAGACATAGTAAGTGGAAGTATCGTCTTTTTATGCCGTTTGCGTGTGTATTACGCGGTTTGAACAAAAATTAGTGACACACGCGGCGCAGGCATGTGTATCACTGATTTCTTAACTCGAGAAAAGATAATCTCCCCTTGTATAACCGTAATTTATTCGTTGCATATATGCGTAACTGAACAGATACACAGCAAACTTTATTATAACATGAACAGGAAAATAAATTGCAGTGACATAGAGAAACATCTTGAAGATTCCCTCAACACTCAACTGATTATCGCCTTAACCCTTCTTTGACCCCCAAAAGTGACTAAAACCTAATTTCTCCTTACAATATCAATCCCGACACACACAATTCTGGCACGATAATAAAGGAATGATCAGCAACTAAAGAACCTCTTCACTACTGAACAAATTATCCTTATTAGCACCTTAGGAAATGTCTAGAGAACAGTATAAGGAATATGCATACTGATGTCAGGGCGCAGACAGCTAACTCAATCTTTTGCACTTTCAAGTACATTCTAAACCTGATAAACAATAATTTTTTTCATTGCATTTCACAGGTCAGGAGAGGAAGGATGACAAACTATAGAATATGTTAAAACATAGGAATACTAATTTACTTGCAAATCAGTGAACATTTTAATATGATTGTTCATTTTATCGATGCCCTAATTATATGTCGCTAAAACTTCGCTACTTGAAGAGAACGCGGCCACTGATTTGTTATCTTAAATGAGGGAGTCATAAACAAGCCACGGTACGCTACAAATGTAAGGGCTAGTATTTGCCTAAAAATTCAGCATTGGAGCTATTGATAATTTCTTAAACGCGTAGTAGAGAAGAAGTTGTAAGTGCTTCATGGGGACCGTCTTGATAAAGTATACCTAAGTGCTACAAATAAAAATTTAAGTCTTTGGAAAAGTTAGCAAAGTTGCAATGATCAATTCATCATGAAACTGTCCCTCAAGGGGATGAGAAATTTTGCGCGGGAAATTGACGCGCAATTGTCCAAAATTGAACCACTTACGCATGCTTGACGTTTGACCGCTGTGTTGCCACGGAGACTCTGTGATGAGTGGGTGGGCTACTTTCATAGGTGACAGGCTTAAATTTTCAAAACAATTGAAAATGATTAATTTTAACATCTCTGTTAACTGTAACAGAAAGAATTTAACTTTGAGTCGAGTAAGCCATCATCTCATTGAGGCACTCAGCTTGGATCAGCAGTTTCGAGAGTGTCGAGAGAGTAAGATAAGTACAGATATAAAATTTGAACTCGGTAGTAAAATTGAAGAAAAAAGATGTTTTTTTTCTGCCTTTTCTCGAGAGAGAGGAAAATGGAAAAAAATCTGAGTCCCCGTGAAGTATGGAACCTCAGACTTCCTAGGACCTCGAAGGCCTTGAGGGAGTTAATTCCATTACCTTGGGCTTAACTCCATCCACTGCAGGAGGCCGGACAACGAGAGCCAAGAGAGAGACTTTATCCTCTTTCACAAAGGCGCGTTGTAAATAAGGCATGAGATCTTAGATGTGTCGGTTATATTCAACTGAAGGGAAAACCATGAGCAAATTGAAGCCTTTATCGAAGAAAAAACACAGAAACTCGTCGAAGAAACTGTGAGCGACATGACAGTATTTCAACTTAATTTTTTGCCAATAAATATAGGTACGTAGAAGTTTGAGACTTTCCGGCAAGTAACCTTGGTCTTTGGCGCAGTTTCATCAATGATATCCACAAAAAGTGAAGTCTAGTGGGGATGAAAACGCTATTGAGATTTCAACAAAAGGCATAAATGGCAAATCTCCTCTTCATCATTGTCGTGGTTAAAATTTCACTTACCTTCTGCCAGACATCAACCGACACAACCGAAGAAGAGAAGAATATACGAAGTTTGCAGGTCTTGCAGAGTCTTCCTGAACAATTACGTGAAAAACGCAGGAGGGAAAACTGTCATACTTCTTCAGTAAAACATCACAGAAAGTTAAGAACGCGTAAGATTCCTTGGATTCATGCAAATGTACCCAAATATTAGAATTTCGCCAGAGTTAGATTGGAGCTGTAGTTCACATCGATAAATTCCCTGGTTACAAAACGAGAAAATTTTAAATCAGCCTCTAGGAACAGAGAATGTAAACGGCTGAGAACTTTCTACTGGCAGCAAAATGTCTGGTTGCTAGTTGTTAATCTTCAACGGGCCAGCAAAGATGACGAAGACTGAATTATTCCGAATGGAATTACTTCGTAACGCTTTATTTAAATTTTCTTTTATCAGAAATTTTTGTCAAATTTCCTTTGCTTTTTGTAATACATCTATACTTGAATATTTACTACAACTGTAGTAACAATTCTTATCGAAAACCAGGATATATTCTTGACGATTAACGCGTTAGTTCGCCGGCCTGAGTTATGCAGTTTGAAATGGGTTTCGAAAGATGAATGAAAGACAGTGCGTGCGCATCACCGAGCGTTAAGTGACGTCTCCCGATTCTACCCTTACTTTTTTCCGTTTTTTCTTGTTCTGCTTTTCCTTTTTTTTCTATTTTGTCTCTCTTTGTTTGTTTGTTTGATTGTTTTTTTTTTTATTGTTCAATAACCACAACCTTTACCGTTCGGTCGCTGCCTCTCAAACCTTGGCCCGGTAAGGACCTCAGTAGGCTGTCAAGTAGTTAAACTTTGACTTCTGCAAAACCCGGATCTATGCCTATTAGACCGTTAATTGTTAGTGATAACTTTACCATCCATAAGAATTATACCCCTTCAGAAGCCCCTGGGCTCCTGACCCCTTCTATCAACTCCAAAGTTATCTATTAATTCCATGGCAGATAGTGATATTGGGGAGCTAATTGCATCCATCTTTGTAGATGCCATTGTCTCCATGATCTAAATCTCCGAAAAATAAACACTCTCCATTTCAAAAGTACTTACAGTAATTTTTTTATCCAAAAATCGTGAATCTCTGTTCTTTTGTCACATGCCCATGAAAAATGTCTCGAGAGGAGGCGCATGTTGTGGTTGTGACATCTTCCACGCCCCTTCCTGTCCTAGCCAACTGCGCGTTCTGACTTCTCTCGCGTTTAATTGCCAATATTATAAAAACAGAAAGGCATTTCTTTTAATTGTCACACAAGAACAGATGCTTGTGTTTACCAAAGGCTTCCATGGACTCTGATCTCTAATCACGAGCTGTGTCACACCAAAGTGAGACGTGATATGGTGGGTTTCTGCCCTGTATACAACCCGAATGAGAGCGGAATCAGATCCCAACGTTTCAAGACAATCTGTCTCATCATAGCTATGTCCATAAAAGCTAGAGATAAATCTAGACAGCAAAGACAACAATGCAAACTCGTACAAAAAGAGTGTAAGGTAGGAGCAGTCTAAAAGACGCAGCCCACGCTTTTTTTTTTGTTTTTGCATACCATGAAAAGTGAACAAACAAGGCTATCACTAAAAGAACAGGAAATATTTCAGGAGTATTTGATACGATTGTGTACAATAATTGTAATGTCGATTGATAGGTAAAGCCATTTGGTGACATGATGAAGTAATTAAGTCGGTGTGTAGGATTTATGCAGATATTTATGTAATTTAGCATCAGTATTCAGACGTTATTGTGTCCTCGGGGAGTCCGTTCAACAAACAGAATTCCTCAACCCTGAGAACGTTTTTGTAAGCTTTAGTCGCCTATTCGCCAGTAATGTCTAAAGCTGTTTCTGTTCGAAACTCAGCTGGAAGCAACGAAAAATTTTCGTCCAAAAAAAGAGAAGAAAACGGCTGCTCTTTAAAGGTAAGTGCCAAAAAACTGCGTTGACACTCTGTACCGCTTCGCCGCCTAAACCTACCTTGATTTCACTATTATTTTACTACTTTCTCTGTCATACTCTTGGGAATGTGATGTGGGAATACCCGCACTAGCTATTTTTGTTGAACTTAAAATCCGAGTGTGGAAATCTTGACGACCAAAAACAGTGAAAGCACAGACTTAAACGCCATGTTTACATCGCGCTGTTCAAAATGCCCGGTGGCTGATTTGCTATGCTTATGAACGAAGTCGATAATTAATCTGCTTCTTATCATGGCAAGCAGTTAGAATGGGAAAAACAATATTTAGTGGGCTGACAATGCATGTCGTCATTGAAATCGCTCTTACAGTGTAATTTTTTGATTCAAATCGGTAGAAATAAAAAACATTTTTCTACTAACTCGTTCGACGAACTAGAAATTATTTGTGCTAACTTTTTGATAATCCAAGGGCTTTTCACTTGTTAACTATAAGCCTAATTAACTACTGGTTTACTTCACTGAAGTATTGACAATCGTCAGACACTTGTCGTCGATTTCTTTGTGGCACAGATATTTTGCAGGTCTACACCGGACGGCAAAATTTTGTCTCTCCTCGCACTAACTTGCAATCAAATCGGTTTCAGCTATTTATTAATTCCTTGTAATTAATAAAACTAACTGAAAGGCTGTTTTCATGGATTTCTCTGTAGATTTTTCTTTTAAAACCCTTGTGGAAAGGTTATTACTCAAAATATTTTTTTGCACCAAAAGTTGCAAGATCTCTTCAGAACCTTTTCGACCGAACGAATTCAGCGATAACGAGGTATAATAGGGGAAATTTGCAGTAGTCATTTCTAAGCGTTATATAATTCTGTATGGTCGACAATTTACAGAGGTATCTTTCCTTCGCCGGCCCTTGTCAAGACACTATCGTTGTTTGCCTTCAATAACTAAAATTTGACAAAAATTTGCGCTCTCTCGGAGAAAGATTTTGTATTTCATTTTGTTGACTAGCTTGGTATAGTCTATCACAACAATACCTACAAATAATTTCCTTCGAGTTGGTATCAGCTTTTCGACAAATTGACAGAACGCGCAATAGTTCATTAATTTAAGTCTTAAATTTCACAGGCGAAGCCGACATAGTTCCTGGGGCTAGTTTTAAGCAAAAAAAAAAACAGAAAAATATTTGTGCCATCACTTCCTTAAGGAAAATAGTCTATCAGAGCAAAGATTACTTTTCAAGCTTGGGTGCGCAATTTTTTGAACTACGAAAAGAAAAATGCAGCGAAGACAATAAAACTTGATCAAGTTTTGATTCAGACGAGGTACAACTAGCAAAACTTTATTTTTGCGTTTAGAGGCGGAGCTGTGCATTAGTTTCAAAACGTCGACAAATTATTTTTGAGAGGCAAGCAGACAAGAGGGAACTTTCTCTTTTAAAAATGGGAAGCATGCTAAAAGCGCCATGAACAAAGGCCGGCGCCATTAAATGAAACCTCCATTCAGACGTGTTACAATAAAAATAATTGTGGGTACGCTGTTTCACGTTTTGAATTTCTCTCGCCGTCGGTCGTTTTTCTGATATGAAAGAGTGGTTCATTTCTATGCAAGCATCGTATCTCCACATACCACCAACAACGGCAGTGCTGAAATGACAAGATTCAGTCAACAGTTTACATTGACACTCACTTGTTTGTACTAAAAATAAAATAATCTTAAGTTGGTTTGTCAAGGATCCAAAACTAATAATTCCTAACAGGTTGTACTCATTTCATAAAAATTACGTAACTGTACGACGGAAAGGCCGTGAACGTCGGTGAATTTCATTATGAGAGTCTAAAAGTAGGAGTCTATTTAAATGAAAAGTAATTTAAAAACCTTTGAATGACATTCTCTGTGGTTTGCGTGCTGTCCAGCCTCAGAGTTTAGTCCACGATAACTTACCTTTACCGCAGTAATTTATATAACAGTCACAAATTTAAAACTCTTATGTTATATATTAGAATTAACGCGTAATTTCCGATCTTAATAACCTTCTTGGGACAACTGGAAGAAGGTTTTTTTTCTGTGATACTGATCAAAGAGCTATTCTCAATAAACATACGTTACATGAAAAATACAACAAGTTTTCTTTCAAC